TAAGGATATTATTAATAGCATTACTATCAACCCAAACTTAAACTAACTCAGGCTCAACGATCCATTTATTTACTCAATTTGGACCTCTATTAGTAAGGTATCCAAATTTGTGTAATATTAAACCAAATTTTATTATAACATTAAAAGTTTCCTTAAAACAACTCATTTGATAGCATATTCTAAAGTCAGGATATTAGTAATAGAAAGGGGAACAAGAATAAATTGACTTACAATAAAAATGATGACAACGCTTTATGTTTACAGATTGAAAATCTTTTGCTCAAACTTTAAGAAGTATCCCCAGATCGGTTTTATATCACCATTGGATATGCCGAAACTGAGGATAGGATCCATTAAAAATGTTCGAAAATGATAATTTTATATAATGTGAATATAATATTTCAATAATTATTAAGATGTTGATCTAACGTGTTATGCTAAACAAAAAAGTAGATTAGTTAATTCAAAGGAGTAATTGTTTAATGTCTACTTTACATGGCGATATGTCTAAAAAGAAATATTCTTGAAAATATCATAATTGGTTCCATAATGACATAAAATTAAAAGAGTGAGCCTATTATAATAAGTGAAACTTCAAAATTAATTATTTAAATGTCTAATTAACTAAAAAGATAAATACTTATTTACCATTCCTTCAATTATAAAACAACCCCTAAATAACATAATATATGTATTAGCAGATAAAAGATTACAATAGAATTGCTACATTTCCCACTGAATCTGTAAACTGACTGAACTATCTTTAGAACCAATCTAATAAGTAAGTAAATTCCGCTATTGACGAATAATATTATGAATAATGGATATATATCTATCAAATTTATTTACAAAAATGTAAATAAGATGAAAATACTTATTTTTATTGATAGCTATAAAAATCGATAACTTTTTGGAAGAATAGGGTCGTTCATATAAAAGCAGGATAATACTTCATGAATAAACTAGATATTAATAATGCCATTTACTTTGAAGTATTTTTTGAATAGAGCAAAATTTCCTGGATAAAAGATAATTTACTAAGTTTTTCCTTATTTCAAAGCTTCATCTATGCTATTTTCTGTTTCTAATCTGGATTCTATTCGTAATTATTTAGATCTCTTTTCGATTTAAAGTAATTCATAATAAATGAGGAAAGAAAAAACTATGAAAATGCCTTGAAATAATAAAATTGGTTATTCATCTAATTTTACATTTGAATTTTCAATTCTATTTTCCTAAGAATCATAAGTGCTATTTTATTATATAGCTGAGTTGTTGGGATATTAGATTAAAAAGATAATTCCTAATTTTTGACATCTGCAAGATACTTACACAGTTGTATTATTAATTTCCTCAGTTACAAAATCACATTTATATACTTATCCTTCCATATTTATATTAGCACAATCATATTAATATGGTTTTTCTAAAGGAACCTATTCTTAACAGTATGGAATTTACATCATATCTATTATATATGTTGTAAGTGGATCCTAATAATAAAGAGAACGATTATTATAAAGATGATTTGATAGATGAATTTTCTTTTATGTATTCTCATTTATTTATAGGGTGGTTATATTAAAGAATGTTTACAATTATGTTTATAATTGTTGAGATAGATTTAAATAATTGTAATTTAATTCTATTTGTTCTTTTTGAACAAAGTCAATCAAATCATCTAACTAATCTCTTTCAATATTAAATTCCGCATTAAACCTTCCTTTAGTAATTTTGGACAACTACCATTTTATAATTTACCCGTCATTAATTAAAGGAGAGCCATTTACTTTTGCCTAAACGTTAACATACAATGAAATTTCATCTAAAAGACCAATCAACCCCTCTGCTATATTAATAATCTATTCTTTATCTAATTTAGAATTAATGGGTGCCATTGGTATCTTAAGAAATACATCCTCTATTAAAAGCTATGCCCCTAATAAAGAGTCCAAAACAGCTACTTTACTCTAATAAAGGTTTTCATTCAAAAACACGTCATTTTAGTTAATTTAATCTTTAATATCTATTAGCATTGTTATCATTTTCTGAACAGTAGCATTCATATATTGTAATTCTGCTTGCAAACTAGAAGCAGTGATAGTTGATGAAGCGTTATGCAGTGTACTTTAGACATAAAAGGATTTTGTAGAGTTTTAAAAGCAACTCACTGAATTCTCAGTTAATAATCTCTTTTTGGAGTTTACATTATCATGCTCTTGTATTATTCTTTTATACAGTTTCGCTGTTTGATAAACTAATAATTGATCATCATTCTCTTCTGCATTTAAAAAGGTTTTGATATTTGAATACAATTATTTGGAAAGATCAATACAATATTATTATTCTTTATGGTTCATTATTATTTCAAATAATAATGAAATTTGATATCTTAAAGTAAATTGCTGAATTTGTATCTAGGAACAATTAAGCACAGTCTAAGTTATATTTAACTATTTCTAAATGTTTGAGTACGATCCCTTAGAATCCATTGCTTAAATTAGA